GTAAAACATTTTAAAGAAAAGAGAAAGGAAAAAAAGAAGAAAAAAAAAAGAAGGAAAGACCAGGAAGAATGTATACTGAGCATACAGCTAGCCGGAGACTGAGCATACAGCTAGCCTCGGCATGTACAGAGCATCAGGATTACTACATACTACTAGTACTATACTCAAGATAGGGAGGGGGGGGGGGTTGCTTTCATGCTACAGTAAGACAATACGCGTGCAACACACCCTTGAACTGGAGGGGGAAGTGATGTTTCTCGCATTAGGTGGAAGGGTGTGCCCGAACAAGAGCAGCACATGCACGCGCGACGAGGAAAAAGAAGGAAAAACGGATTCCAGCAATGATTAGGTCGTAGCAGTACAGTAGTGCAAGCAGGCACAGTGGGTTGGTCTAAGACCATGATTGAGAATGAGAAGCGAGAGGTACCAGGTTCAAGTCCTGCTTAAGCAAAAGGATTTTTTTCCAACCGTCGCCACAGTTAATTGGGAACTCGTGGCCTGGCATGAGTAATACATGGATGTGGCAAATGGGATCGAGGCCTTTGGCCTCTGGTTGGTGGATCTGATCTACCCTCCCCCACCGTTAGGAGCCGCATCTGACGCCTGATCATGGGGTGGTGGCGTCCCACGGAAGCGGAAAGGTGGTTCTTGATTAGGGAGTTGTACGACTCCTTGTTCTTGACTGCCCGGTACGCGAACCCCGTCGAATTTATTTTATTTTTATTTAAGTACAGTTCTGAGAGAAATGACGCTTTGTGTCTCTTTTGAATGTACATGTATGAGCATGTACAATCTCATGCAAGTCCTTTGTCAAATAATAATTGTTCCATGCAGCTAGGGAATGAGAGAGAACATGGCTGCTTCGATTATGGACCCTGAGCAGAAACAAATAACATACTGTAAAACCGGAAAACGTTTTAAACGTTTTTGTAACTTTGGCATGATTACGTGCAGAAAGTTTAACGATGGCTACCTGGCCATACGCCACCCATCTGGATGCCCGTCATTACACAGACATCTAGCGATAAGCCGATAACGTTTTTTTCAAATAACGAAAAATAATTGGTCGTTAAAACGTTAGACTTTGTGACTCGTTAAGACTTTCCGGTTTTACAGTATAAGAGAACTCGCAGCCCGCTGAAGCCAATCAAACACCCAGAAGATACAACTAACTAACGGTGTTACTACGTTAGTTACCGGTACATGCTGAATTCCGCTAGTGGAATGTAACGAAACAAATCCTGGCTGCAACATTTATGACCGTCAATCCAGGTTCACATCATCGATTGCGATCGATTGACTCTTCAGTTTTCATTCGAGTTGTCATGAC